AGTTGCCTGAGCAGCGTGGCTGTGGTCCCCTGTCATTATTGTGTTGACTGAGCAGCGTGGCTGTGGTCCCCTTTCATTATTGAGTTGCCTGAGCAGCGTGGCTGTGGTCCCCTGTCATTATTGTGTTGCCTGAGCACCGTGGCTGTGGTCCCCTGTCATTATTGTGTTGCCTGAGCACCGTGGCTGTGGTCCCCTGTCATTATTGAGTTGCCTGAGCAGCGTGGCTGTGGTCCCCTGTCAATATTGAGATGCCTGAGCAGCGTGGCTGTGGTCCCCTGTCATTATTGTGTTGCCTGAGCAGCGTGGCTGTGGTCCCCTGTCATTATTGAGTTGCCTGGGCAGCGTGGCTGTGGTCCCCTGTCATTATTGTGTTGCCTGAGCAGCGTGGCTGTGGTCCCCTGTCATTATTGTGTTGCCTGAGCACTGTGGCTGTGGTCCCCTGTCATTATTGTGTTGCCTGAGCACCGTGGCTGTGGTCCCCTGTCAGTATTGTGTTGCCTGAGCAGCGTGGCTGTGGTCCCCTGTCATTGTTGTGTTGCCTGAGCACCGTGGCTGTGGTCCCTGTCATTATTGTGTTGCCTGAGCAGCGTGGCTGTGGTCCCCTGTCATTATTGTGTTGCCTGAGCACCGTGGCTGTGGTCCCTGTCTTTGTTGTGTTGCCTGAGCAGCGTGGCTGTGGTCCCCCTGTCATTATTGTGTTGCCTGAGCACCGTGGCTGTGGTCCCTGTCATTATTGTGTTGCCTGAGCAGCGTGGCTGTGGTCCCCTGTCATTATTGTGTTGCCTGAGCACCGTGGCTGTGGTCTCCTGTCATTATTGTGTTGCCTGAGCACCGTGGCTGTGGTCCCCTGTCATTATTGTGTTGCCTGAGCAGCGTGGCTGTGGTCCTCTGTCATTATTGTGTTGCCTGAGCACCGTGGCTGGGTGTTATACTCAGATTCTGTCAGTTAAAATGTGCAATCACAGGCGAGTAGGCCCCTGACGTTATGCCAGACAGAGGAGCATCAGGCATGCTCCCAGCAGCCTCAGTTATCCTCACAGACTCAGAGTAGAAGGACCTCGGCTAGGCAGATATATACCTTGCTATCTCGGTCAATAAATATATACAGAAGCGACTACTGTGTCTACCTTCTACCCGAACAAGGCAAACGAATACTGGTAGCAGCAGTGGGATCCAGAAATTTTTTTTTCTGGAAAGAAAAGTTCAAGTACCCAGCATCGCCTCGTCTTCCAGCCGCCACCGCCATCCTGCCACTCACGCATCCCACATTTGGTTATATTCCAGGAAAGCAAAATGTTGTAGCCGATGCGTTTTCTCGACACGTAGCTGCGATTCAGTTAAATTACCCAGCATTAGATGCTACAGTAGTAGAAACGGAACAAAGACAAGACCCCATATGGGCACCTGTCATTAAATTTTTGACTAAGCAAGACACTCGCCCGATTCATAAACCGCCAGTACCATTGAAAGAACTAGTTATGTTGGACAATTTACTGTGTAGAGTAGTAAAGCTAGGGACAGCCCCGAGGAAATGTTGTCAGTTAGTTGTTCCAGCTGTCTTGGTACCAACTGTGTTAAAAATTATCCATGATGCTCCTGCAAGTGCACATCCAGGAAAGGATCGTACACTCCAACAAGGTCGATTGAAATATTTTTGGCCAAAAATGGCTAAGGAGATTGCTCATTATGTTGACAGATGTTTAACTTGTTTACAGCACAAGGGACATGTTTCAGGACCTAATCCAATTCAGGTGTACCCAGCAACTAAAGCTCCTTGGGAACGAATATCGATGGATTTATTGACAAATTTTGCGGAAACAGAGAAAGGGAACAAACATTTGCTTGTAATGGTCGATAATTTTTCACGGTTTTGCGAACTAGTTCCTATCCCGAACAAAACAGCAGAAACCATAGCCAGCGCATTCCATGACCAAATAATTTGTAGATATAGTATGCCTAAAGTAATCCTTTCAGATAATGGACCAGAATTCAGTAATAGTATTCTAACTAGCTTGTGTGATTTATATAACATCAAAAAATGTAGCATTATGCCTTATAATCCGGCAAGTAATGGACTAGCTGAACGTACTAACAGGAAAGTGTTAGATGCCTTGAGAGTCACGTTGAATTTTGATAACAACAATTGGGATGATTTTATACCCTTAATTCAGTGTGCTATAAATTCTTCAATTAATGTTTCTACAGGTGACACACCTCACGCTATTCTTTATGGTACAGATAAGATCCTCCCTAATGAATTGATTAACGTACCTCCTACTCCCTTATATAACGTAGATGATTTTGTTCAAGTGAAGCGTAGACAAATGCAACTAGTATTCAAGAAAATATGAGAACAACTGTCCAAAGCAACAGCCGAGTTCACTCTAGCAAGGAATGCACGAGCTAAACCCAATAAAATAACTATTGGATCTGTAGTAATGATACTTAACCAACACAGGTCTGGTCCTATGTACAAGTTAACTAAGAAATTTTTGGGTCCATATAAGGTAATCGAGCTTATTAAAGGTAACAAATACAGACTTAAGAACTTGTTAACAGGAGAGTATATAAATGAACATTTAGACCACATGAAGTTAGCTAAAATGACTGTTGACGAGACTGATGAGGAAGATGACAATGAACTTACCCAGACAGATACTCCTACTCGGACACCACCTTCTGTGGTTGATAGACCACTTGATGTTCAGCAACCCCATACTAGCAATTATCATCTTAGATCTAGACCTCTCGTTTCAACCGTGCACTCACCACACGTCCATTGGCTAGATGTTAATGAGGATATCTCTCAAGATGATAGTTTGTCGCATGAAGTTTCATCTGTTCCGGACCTTCAGTCAGAGCCAGAGTTGTATAGTGCTCTGGATGAGCTAGGTGTAGATATCCGCAGAATTTATAATTGAATGCACTCTGCAGTTATTCTGTTTGTTTTGAAAAAAAAAAAAAAAAAAAAAAAAAACGTCATTTGCAGTATTTCTACCACATGTGTCTTATTATTACCATTATATATAATGTATAGTTTTTCTCAACTTTATTTTGTTATGAATTAGATGCCATTGTTAAGTCTACTACCATTTGTATTTTTACAGTGCTTGTCATAAGAGTTATTATTGTTCTAGCAACCACATTGTGGCCAGTGAATCCTGACTGCTATCACGCAGATGTTAGTCTTCTTGATCCAGGTCTTGTATATGCTTGTAAATATATTGCACATTATATATATTGTACATTGGTCTTGTAAATATATTGTATTATTTCAGAAAAAAAAGAGAGAGAAAAAAAAAAAATCATTATCTATCTTGAAATTCAATTGTGGTTGTTAGGTCAGAACTTTGTTCCATTAATGTAATAATTGTTTAATTTTGTATGGTTTTCAAGCACATGCCATTGACACATGTTAATAATTTTGTTTAGGCAATACCTTGAGTTGTATTGTTCATATCTGATCAGTAGACATACACATGTTCTTAATACTCTGGTTTAATCAAAGCATTGTTACCATGATTTTCACCTATTATGATGAATTTTTTTTTTGTGCATATATGCCGAGTTGTTTGTATTACGCACACCTGATCTTCTTTCAATGTTTTATTATGCAAATTTCACATGTAAGCCATTATTGTATGCCACCGAGGTCCTTTCAGTATCATTGTAACTATATAGCTAGCCAGAGCTTGTCGACAAGGGACGTCGACTTGGTAGCGTGTCCGAGCGGTGTTATACTCAGATTCTGTCAGTTGAAATGTAACCAATCACAGGCAAGTAGGCCTCTGACGTCATGCCAGACAGAGGAGCATCAGGCATGCTCCCAGCAGCCTCAGTTATCCTCACAGACTCAGAGTAGAAGGACCTCGGCTAGGCAGATATATACCTTGCTATCTCAGTCAATAAATATATACAGAAGCGACTACTGTGTCTACCTTCTACCCGAACAAGGCAAACGAATATGTGGTCCCCTGTCATTATTGTGTTGCCTGAGCACCGTGCTTGTGGTCCCCTGTCATTATTGTGTTGCCTGAGCAGCGTGGCTGTGGTCCTCTGTCATTATTGTGTTGCCTGAGCACCGTGGCTGTGGTCCCCTGTCATTATTGTGTTGCCTGGGCACCGTGGCTGTGGTCCCCTGTCATTATTGTGTTGCCTGAGCACCGTGCTTGTGGTCCCCTGTCATTATTGTGTTGCCTGAGCACTGTGGCTGGAGGTGGTGTGGTCCCTGTCATTATTGTGTTGCCTGAGCACTGTGGCTGTAGGTGGTGTGGTCCCTGTCATTATTGTGTTGCCTGAGCACTGTGGCTGGAGGTGGTGTGGTCCCCTGTCATTATTGTGTTGCCTGAGCACTGTGGCTGGAGGTGGTGTGGTCCCTGTCATTATTGTGTTGCCTGAGCACTGTGGCTGGAGGTGGTGTGGTCCCTGTCATTATTGTGTTGCCTGAGCACTGTGGCTGGATGTGGTGTGGTCCCTGTCATTATTGTGTTGCCTGAGCACTGTGGCTGGAGGTGGAGTGATGTCCCTGGCGATTACTGTGTTGCCTGAGCACCGTGGCTGGAGGTGGTGTGTGGTCCCTGACAATTTTTGTGTTGCCTGATCACCCTTGCTGGAGGTGTTGTAAGACCCCTGTTACGAACCCGATGGCATTGACGTGGGAGCATGGAGCAGCGACGTCAGTGCCATCTGTGAGTCCGCTCCCTAAACCCCCTACAACATGGACGACGCCATCTGGTGGTGGCAGGAAGATACCAGCAAGAGGCGCTAGATTGCTGCCCTGCTGGTCAGCTGGAGAGGTAGCTGCTGCTGACCTCTGGTGAGGTGGCGCCTAGAAAATCAGCGCCATCTATTGTAGGAGGAGTTGTATATGTTTATGTCAGAGACCGTAAGTGGTATTTCCTAGTGTCCCAAGTACTTACCAGTTTACTGATGACGTGTCTGTATCCACAGAGGCGACGTAGGGCTGCTGTGGTACGAGGACAGTCAGTCTACTCAGGGCAGCCTATATCTCTCTACTCCATTCTGCTTTACGGAAGCAGTGAGCCGCCGCCGAAGAGGAACTGTGTAAAAATTTAAAATGTTTATTCAGGACAAGTACATACGTACAAGAGGTTATACAAAAATTAATAGATTTATATATAGAGCGAGTACATACAATGCCTAAAGCCACTATTACGCAAAACGTTTCGGGCAGGAAAAACATTAAAGACTAAAACTTAATACTAATTGAGATTAAAGTATAAAATGTGTTGAGAACAAATACAAATAAAAAGGGGGGAACATGGCAGAAAAAACAGCACAAATACAATTAGGTCGACAAACAGCGTTGTTTTAAAAAATAACAGACATGGGTTGACAATAGAGGGGTAAGGTAGGTTACAGGGAGTTAATTAGGTAGTGTTTAGTTTTTATCTTAATTAAACTGGTTGAGAGGTGTACAGTTTTTAACATGGTTGGGAAGGTCATTCCACATTCTGGGTCCCTTGATTTGTAGAGCATTTCTAGTTTGATTAAGTCGTACTCTTGGAATATCAAAACTGTATTTGTTTCTGGTGTGGTGCTCATGGGTTCTGTTACAACCTTCAATGAAGCTTTTGAGGTCAGGATTGGCATTACAGTTCAGCGTTTTATATATATATATATAATATAATACACATGAGAGGATGTGCAGTGACTTAATATCTAACATATTCAGAGATTTGAGTAGGGGTACCGAGTGATGTCTGGGGCCAGAGTTGGATATTGTCCTAATAGCAGCTTTGTGTTGAGTAATTAGAGGACGTAAATGATTTTGGGTAGTAGAACCCCAAGCACTAATACCATAGTTGATATATGGATAGATGAGGGAGTAATAGAGCATCACCAGGGCAGGGCGAGGTACATAATATCTGATCTTAGAAAGAATGCCAACAGTTTTTGAAACTTTTTTTGATATATTTAAAATGTGTCCCTGGAAATTCAGCTTGTGGTCAATGAGAACGCCTAGGAATTTGCCATCTATTTTGTTACAAATTTGGGTATTGTTTATCCTGAGATTTATTTGATTAGAGGATTTATTTTGTTTATTAGTGTAGTGTTCTACTGTCTGCCTGTGAAGTGGCAGTGACAGAATTCGGCGTACCCGGGACTGGCTAGAGGAAGAGACGACTGACAGTGAGGTGCTACGGAGGAGTGTAAGTAGCTAGTTGCAAGAAGCTCCTGCCAGGGGTTCGCTACCCTTGTATTTGTACGTGTAGAGGCCCAGCAGCGCGAGGCTGATGTTCTCTGCCAGCACCAGGCTGGAGAGTGATTGTGGGCGTGCACAAGGAGCACCTAGTGAGACTGTATATAGGCTGGCCCGTGGCTAGGGTAGACTCGTTGGTGTTTCCCAGTACTGGTTGAGGACGGTACTGTGTGTTGGGGAAACACGGTAGCTGACAAGACTGCATCGCATGAGCATCGAGGAGCGCTTAGTGTCCTGTGAGAGCGACACTTGTGTATATATCAGTGTAGTAATACTCCCTTTATGATTATATTTATGGTGATGGGAAAGTGATATGTGAATATATTGATAATTGATGAAGTGTCGTATTCAATGCAACTCCCCCATTGTGTTTTACTTGCATTACCAAGCTCACTCCTTGAAAGCCACTACTAACTTTGGGTTGGATACCAGAACTTTAGTTACTCTAGCAAGGAACCCGGTTGCGACCCATTGTGGCCGTAACACTGGAGGTGGTGTGTGATCCCTGCCCATTATTGTGTTGCCTGAACACCGTTGCTGGAGGTGGTGTGTGATCCCTGACCATTATTGTGTTGCCTGAACACCGTTGCTGGAGGTAATTTGTGACCCCTGGACATTGTGTTGCCGAGCACCGTGGTTTGCGGCGGTATAAGACCTCTGGCTATTATTGTGTTGCCTGAGCATTGTGGCTAGTGGTGGTGTGTGATCCCTGGCCATTATTGTGTTGACTGAACATAGTTGCTGGAGGTCGAGTGATGTCCCTGGCCATTACTGTGTTGCCTGAGCCCCGTGGCTGGAGGTGGTGTGTGGTCCCTGACATTTATTGTGTTGCCTGATCACCCTTGCTGGAGGTGGAGGGATCCCTAGCCATTATTGTGTTGCTTGAGAATCGTTGCTGGAGGTAGTGTGTGATCCATGGACCTTATTATGTTGCCTGAGCACGTGTCTGGAGGTGGTGTATTATTGTGTTGCCTGAGCACAGTGGCTGGAGGTAGTGTGGTCAATGTCGATATTGTGTTGCCTGAGCACTGTGGCTGGAGGGGCTGTGGTCCCTGTCATTATTGAGTTGCCTGAGCACCGTAGCGGGAGGTGCTGTGGTCCCTGTCATTGTGTTGCCTGAGCACCGTGGCTGGAGGTGCTCTGGTTCCTATCATTGTGTTGCCTGAACACCGTGGCTGGAGGTGGTGAGTGGTCCCTGGCCGTTACTGTGTTGCCTGAGCACCGTGGTTGGAGGTGGTGTGAGACCTCTGGTCATTGTGTTGCCTGAGCACCGGTGCTGGAGTTGGTGTGTGATCCCTGGCTATTATTGTGTTGCCTGAACACCGTGCCTTGAGGTGGAGTGATCCCTGGTCATTATTGTGTTGCCTGAGGATCGTTGCTCGAGGTGGTGTGTGATCCATGGTCATTACTGTGTTGCCTGAGCTCCGTGGCTGGAGGTCGTGTGCGGTTCCTTCCCATTATTCTATTGCTTGAGCATTGTGCCTGGAGGTGGAGTAATCTCTGTCCATTTTTGTGTTGCCTGAGCACCGTGGTTTGCGGCGGTGTGAGACCTCTGGCTATTATTGCGTTTCCTGAGCACTGTAGCTGGAGGTGGAGTGATGTCACTGGCCACAGGATACCTGAACCTGTGTTGCCTGAACACCGTTACTGGAGGTGGTGTGATCTCTGGCTATTATTGTGCTGTCTGAGCACCGTGGCTGGAGGTGGTGTGTGGTCCCCTGTCATTATTGTGTTACCTGGTTGATGGGGTTCTGGGAGTTCTTCTACTCCCCAAGCCCGGCCCGAGGCCAGACTTGACTTGTGAGAGTTTGGTCCACTAGGCTGTTGCTTGGAGCGGCCCTCAGGCCCACATACCCATCACAGCCCGGTTGGTCCGGCACTCCTTGAAGAAAACATTCTAGTTTCCTCTTGAAGATGTCCACGGTTGTTCCTGCAATATTTCTGATGCTCACTGGTAGGACGTTGAACAACCGCGGATCTCTGATGTTTATACAGTGTTCTCTGATTGTGCCTATGGCACCTCTGCTCTTCACTGGTTATATTCTGCATTTTCTTCCATGTCGTTCACTCCAGTACGTTGTTATTTTACTGTGTAGATTAGGGACCTGTCCCTCCAGTATTTTCCAGGTGTATATTATTTGGTATCTCTTTCGTCTCCTTTCTAGTGAGTACATTTGGAGAGCTTTGAGACGATCCCGATAATTTAGGTGCTTTATAGCGTCTATGCGTGCCGTATATGTTCTCTGTATTCCCTCTATTTCAGCAATCTCTCCTGCTCTGAAGGGGGAAGTGAGTACTGAACAGTACTCAAGACGGGACAACACAAGTGACTTGAAGAGTATAACCATTGTGATGGGATCTCTGGACTTGAAGGTTCTCGTAATCAATCCGATCATTTTTCTGGCTGACGCAATATTTGCTTGGTTACGCTCACTAAACGTTAGATCGTCGGACATCATTATTCCCAAAACCTTGACATGCTGTTTTCCTACTATGGGCAGATTCGATTGTGTTTTGTACCTTGTATTATGTTTAAGAACCTCATTTTTGCCGTATCTGAGTACCTGGAATTTATCACCGTTAAACATCATGTTATTTTCTGCTGCCCAATCGAAAACTTTGTTAATATCTGTTTGTAGTTTATCAATGTCTTCAGCAGAGGTAATTTTCATGCTGATTTTTGTATCATCTGCAAAGGATGACACGAAGCTGTGACGTGTAATTTTGTCTATATCTGATATGAGAATAAGGAACAGTAGCGGTGCAAGGACTGTACCTTGAGGTACAGAGCTGTCTCAGCACCGTGGCTGGAGATGGTGTGTGGTCCCTGACATTACTGTGTTGCCTGAGCACCGTGGCTGGAGGTGCTGTGTGGTCCCTGGCAATCATTGTGTTGCCTGAGCACCGTGGCTGGAGGTGGTGTGTGGTCCCTGGCAATCATTGTGTTGCCTGAGCACCGTGGCTGGAGGTGGTGTGTGGTCCCTGGCAATGATTGTGTTGCCTGAACACCGTAGCTGGAGGTGGTGTGTGACCCCTGACTATTATTGTGGTGCCTGAGCACTGTGGTTGGAGGCATTGTGAGACCTCTGGTCAATATTGTATTGCCTGAGCTCCGTTGGTGGGGGAGGTGTGTTGTCCCTGACCATTATTGTGTTGCCTGAGCACCATGGCTAGAGGTGGTGTGTGATGCCCGGCCATTATTGTGTTGCCTGAGCACCATGGCTAGAGATGGTATGTGATGCCTGGTCATTATTGAGTTGCCTGAGCACCGTTGTTGGAGGTGCTGTTGTTCCTGCCATTATTCTGTTTCCTGAGCACCGTAGCTGGAGGTGGTATGTGGTACCTGGCCATTATTGTGTTGCCTGAGCACCATGGCTGGAGGTGGTGTGCAACTTCTGGTCATTAATGTGTTGCCTGAGGACCATTTCGTGAGGTCATGTGTGACCCCTGGTTATTATTGTGTTGCCTGAGCACCGTTGCTGGAGGTGGTGGATTGTCCCTGGCTATTATTGTGTTGCTTGAGCACCGTCTCTGGAGGTGGTGTGTGGTTCCTGACATTATTGTGTTGCCTGAACACCGTTGCTAGAGGTGGTGTGCGATCCATGGTCATTATTGTGTTGCCTGAGCACCGTGGCTGGAGGTGGTGAGTGATCCCTGGCAATTACTGTGTTGCCTGAGCACCGTGATTGGAGGTGGTGTGAGACCTCTGGTCATTATTGTGTTGCCTGAGCACCTGTGCTGGAGGTGGTGTGTGGTCCCTGGCTATTGTTGTGTTGCCTGAACAACGTGTCTTGAGGTGGAGTGATCCCTGGTCATTATTGTGTTGCCTGAGAATTGTTGCTCAAGGTGGTGTGTGATCCATGGCCATTATTGTGTTGCCTGAGCCCCGTGGCTGGAGGTGGTGTGCGGTTCCTGCCCATTATTGTGTTGCCTGAGCATCGTGCCTGGAGGTGGAGTGATCTCTGTTCATTTTTGTGTTGCCTGAGCACCGTAGCTAGATGTGGTGTGGTTTCTGACCATTATTGTGTTGCCTGAGCACCGTGACTGACGGTTTTGTGTGGTCCCAGGCAATTATTGTGTTGCCTGAGCACCGTATCTAAAGGCTGTGAGTGGTCCCTGAACATTAATGTGTTGCCTGAGCACTGTTGCTGAAATTGGTGTGTGGTCCCTGGCCATTATTGTGTTGCCTGACCAACGTAGCTGGAGGTGGCGTGTGATTCTTGGTCATTATTGTGTTGCCTGAGCCCCGTGGCTGGAAGTGGTGTCTTGTTCCGGGCCATTATTGTGTTGCCTGACCAACGTGGTTTGAGGGTGTGTGTGATCCCTGATTTTTTTGTGTTGTCTGAAGCACCGTGGCTAGAGGGGAAATATGGGGGAATATGAGGGGAAATATGAGGGGAAACAGTGTAGTGTTTGGAAGGAAGATTGAGTGAGGGAGGGGAGGGAGGAATGGAACTGTCAGGGGAAAGCGCCAAGCCATTACGACTATACAGCACTGGGTCAGGATAAGGATTTGGGGCGAGGGGTGGGGGGAGGGTAATGGTGTCCAACCACCTGGACGATCGGGGATTGAACGCGGACCTGCATGGCGTGAGACCGTCGCTCTACCGTCCAGCCCAAGTGGTTGGTGTTTACAACTCACCTGGAGGGTAGTGTGAGCAGGTCATAAAGATGCATCAGGCTCCTTAACATCAGTCATTCTTCACTTTAGTCCAAATTAGTTTTGACATCTCTCTCCCTCTCACCTATAAAATACATATTATCTTAGTAAATATACCAAAACAAAGTTTTAAAGACAATCCATCTAAAAAGGCATATATATTTGTATTGATATTTGTCGAACCTAATAGCCAGAACCACACTACTTGGCCTAGTAGGCAAGACCTAGAACCTAATAGCCAGAACCACACTAGTTGGCCTAGTAGGCAAGACCCAGAACCTAATAGCCAGAACCATACTACTTGGCCTAGTATGCAAGACCCAGAGCCTAATAGCCAGAACCACACTACTTGGCCTAGTATGCAAGACCTAGAACCTAATAGCCAGAACCACACTACTTGGCCTAGTATGCAAGATCCAGAACCTAATAGCCAGAACCACACTACTTGGCCTAGTATGCAAGACCTAGAACCTAATAGCCAGAACCACACTACTTGGCCTAGTATGTAAGACCCAGAACCTAATAGCCAGAACCATACTACTTGGCCTAGTATGTAAGACCCAGAACCTAATAGCCAGAACCATACTACTTGGCCTAGTATGTAAGACCCAGAACCTAATAGCCAGAACCATACTACTTGGCCTAGTATGTAAGACCCAGAACCTAATAGCCAGAACCATACTACTTGGCCTAGTATGTAAGACCCAGAACCTAATAGCCAGAACCACACTACTTGGCCTAGTATGTAAGACCCAGAACCTAATAGCCAGAACCATACTACTTGGCCTAGTAGGCAAGACCCAGAACCTAATAGCCAGAACCATACTACTTGGCCTAGTATGCAAGACCCAGAACCTAATAGCCAGAACCACACTACTTGGCCTAGTATGTAAGACCCAGAACCTAATAGCCAGAACCACACTACTTGGCCTAGTATGCAAGACCCAGAACCTAATAGCCAGAACCACACTACTTGGCCTAGTATGCAAGACCCAGAACCTAATAGCCAGAACCACACTACTTGGCCTAGTAGGCAAGACCTAGAACCTAATAGCCAGAACCACACTACTTGGCCTAGTATGTAAGACCCAGAACCTAATAGCCAGAACCATACTACTTGGCCTAGTAGGCAAGACCCAGAACCTAATAGCCAGAACCACACTACTTGGCCTAGTATGCAAGACCCAGAACCTAATAGCCAGAACCACACTACTTGGCCTAGTATGTAAGACCCAGAACCTAATAGCCAGAACCATACTACTTGGCCTAGTATGCAAGACCCAGAACCTAATAGCCAGAACCACACTACTTGGCCTAGTATGCAAGACCCAGAACCTAATAGCCAGAACCACACTACTTGGCCTAGTATGTAAGACCCAGAACCTAATAGCCAGAACCACACTACTTGGCCTAGTAGGCAAGACCCAGAACCACACTACTTGGCCTAGTAGGCAAGACCCAGAACCACACTACTTGGCCTAGTAGGCAAGACCCAGACTTGCTTAACAGGAAAATGCACCCAGTGATTTTCGTTATTTTTTACTTGTTTATTTCCAAATTGTATTATTCAAATTTTATATTATTATATAAACAACATGAATTACTGACTTAGTTACGTTCGTTGAAAATTTGATTTATTAGGCAACTTGGCCTATTAGGTACAATGATATTAGGTACAATGATATTAGGTATATGATATTATAGCGCATATATATCAATATAAATATAAATGGAAATGTTCGTTTGTTCATAATCGCTAATCTCCGAAAATTCTTCACCGATTGCTTTGAAATTTTCGACGCATCGTTCCTTTGGCATCCGAGCGGGTTTTCATATACATATTATATAGATGTCACGTCTGTGACGGAAAAAAAACATGATTTATTGAAAAATTGTATTTTTTAGGTGTTTTTCATGTGAGGAAAATCTTCGAAACCTCTTTACCGATTGCTTTGAAATTTTCACACGAGGTTGCATTCGAATAGGCGCGTGTTTTTATATACCTACTATATACATGCCTCATCTGTGATAGGAAAAAAACATTTTTTTTTTAAACAGCGCCATCTGTTGGACGTGAGAGCAACACACTCTGTAATCTCCAAAAGTTCTTCAATTGCTTTGAAATTTTGACACAATGTTTCATACACGTATGTTTTTATATACCTATTACATAGATGCCACACCTGTGACACGTAATTTTTTTTAAAAGCGCCATCTGTTGCACGTAATAGCAACACACACACTATACTAAATATGTTACGATTCCATTTCAATGTTTTTGATTGCATTGATAAATTGAATTTTCATAGATTACGATTTATTTTCATTTCAATTTAATTATTTTGTGTGACATTGCATTAGAATTGAGCTGTGTTGTTTACCATACCGTTCATTTTGTAAAAATAAGTATAGATGTCACACCTGTGACAGGTAAAAACATTCTTTTTTAAGAAACAACGCCATCTGTTGCATGTAAGAACAACTCACGCTATCCTAAATATGTTACGATTCCATTTCAATGTTTCCGATTGCTTTGACAAAATTAATTTTCATAAATTTTGATTTATTTTAATTTTGATTTAATTATTTTGTGTGACATTGCATTGGAATTGAGCTGTGTTGTTTACCGTAACGTTCATTTCCTGAGTATAGTTTATTTTTTTATTTTTTTAACTGTTTTTCTTATGTTTCAGTGATGGGAACATCAGATCATTTGATGAATCCAATTTTCTGATGGGAACATAAGATCATTTGGGAATGTATCGAACGAGGGAGTGGGGAATGGTGGGGACGAGGGGACAGGGAAGTGGGAGATGGTGGGTACGATGAGGGGACGGGGAGGGGGGGGAAAGGGTGGACGAGGGGGGCAGAGTAGTGGGAGATGGTGGGGGGGGGGACGAGGGGGACGGTGGAGTGGGGAATGGTTGGGAGGACGAGGGAGTGAGGAATGGTGGGGAGGACGAGGGGACGTCGGAGGGGGAAATGGTGGGGAGGACTGGGAGAAGGGGAAAGGTTGCTGTGGCTCAGCAACACACATGCATTGCTGAGCCACAGCAACGCGTGGCCGGGTACAGCCAGTTATATAATAATTTTTGTTATTCAGCACTTACCTGGAATACCTTCGCTGCCGTGTGTTTAGTTCATTTATTATGGAGGCCATATACTCATCCTGTGAGTGGTAGTGGACCCCATACTCATCCTGTGAGTGGTGGTGGACCCCATACTCATCCTGTGAGTGGTGGTGGACCCGATACCCATCCTGTGAGTAGTGGTGAACCCCATACCCATCCTGTGAGTGGTGGTGGACCCCATACTCATCCTGTGAGTGGTGGTGGACCCCATACTCATCCTGTGAGTGGTAGTGGACCCCATACCCATCGTGTGAGTGGTAGTGGACCCCATACCCATCCTGTGAGTGGTAGTGAACCCCATACCCATCCTGTGAGTGGTAGTGAACCCCATACCCATCCTGTGAGTGGTAGTGGACCCCATACCCATCCTGTGGGTGGTGGTGGACCCCATACCCATCCTGTGAATGGCAGTGGACCCCACACCCATCCTGTGAGGGCACTGGAGACGGTCACAGAGACACACACACAAGAGGTTCAGCATTAATCAACAGTTGCACAGTTTAACGTCATCCCCGAAGTACTAACAGGTAGAGCTGTCCCAGCAGTTTCATCAGCAAGACTGGCTGTTGCGCATGCGCCCTACCCCCTGACCAATTGCCAAGTTCTGAATAAGATTCTCAATTGTTGCAGTGTAACCCCGCGTCCTGTACCCCGACGGGGCGACCAGACAGCAGCAGCCACATATGGACGCACATATTAGGGAGGGTTGTGATAGCGGAGAGTTGTGGACGAGGTTGTATAATATGGTTGTAGTGTGGGAGTGTAGGAGCGCGGGTGGTGGTGGTCAGAGGCAGGTGTACTGTACTGTTTAGCCATGCGGACCTCATACACTTGGTACACACAACACGGGTCGTCCTCGTCGCCTCTCATGCATGGGGAGCCATCCCCCGCCAGTGTCGCCTCTCATGCATGGGCAGCCATCCCCCGCCAGTGTCGCCTCTCATGCATGGGCAGCCATCCCCCGCCAGTGTCGCCTCTCATGCATGGGGAGCCATCCCCCGCCAGTGTCGCCTCTCATGCATGGGGAGCCATCCCCCGCCAGTGACGCCTCTCATGCATGGGCAGCCATCCCCCGCCAGTGTCGCCTCTCATGCATGGGGAGCCATCCCCCGCCAGTGTCGCCCCTCATGCATGGGCAGCCATCCCCCGCCAGTGTCGCCCCTCATGCATGGGCAGCCATCCCCCGCCAGTGTCGCCTCTCATGCATGGGGAGCCATCCCCCGCCAGTGTCGCCCCTCATGCATGGGGAGCCATCCCCCGCCAGTGTCGCCCCTCATGCATGGGGAGCCATCCCCCGCCAGTGTCGCCCCTCATGCATGGGGAGCCATCCCCCGCCAGTGTCGCCTCTCATGCATGGGGAGCCATCCCCCGCCAGTGTCGCCCCTCATGCATGGGGAGCCATCCCCCGCCAGTGTCGCCCCTCATGCATGGGGAGCCATCCCCCGCCAGTGACGCCCCTCATGCATGGGGAGCCATCCCCCGCCAGTGTCGCCTCTCATGCATGGGGAGCCATCCCCCGCCAGTGTCGCCTCTCATGCATGGGGAGCCATCCCCCGCCAGTGACGCCCCTCATGCATGGGGAGCCATCCCCCGCCAGTGACGCCCCTCATGCATGGGGAGCCATCCCCCGCCAGTGACGCCCCTCATGCATGGGGAGCCATCCCCCGCCAGTGACGCCCCTCATGCATGGGGAGCCATCCCCCGCCAGTGACGCCCCTCATGCATGGGGAGCCATCCCCCGCCAGTGACGCCCCTCATGCATGGGGAGCCATCCCCCGCCAGTGTCGCCTCTCATGCATGGGGAGCCATCCCCCGCCAGTGACGCCCCTCATGCATGGGGAGCCATCCCCCGCCAGTGTCGCCCCTCATGCATGGGGAGCCATCCCCCGCCAGTGACGCCTAACTCTCTCCCCTGCTCCTGCCGCCTTCCCTCCTCTCTCGTCAATCAGCTTGTTGAAGATATCTTCATCCTGATTCAAAGTACACACACGCTATGTAAGCGTATTTGAGGGCTTCATGTTAGGTTAGGGTAAGTTAGGGATAGGTTAGAGTAAGTTAGGACAGGTTAGGATAAGTTAGGACAGGTTAGGGTAATTTAGGACAGGTTAAGATAAATTAGAACAGGTTAGGGTAAAATAGGGCAGGTTAGGGTAAGTTAGGACAGGTTAGGGTAAGTTAGGACAAGTTAGGGGAAGTTAGGACAAGTTAGGGGAAGTTAGGACAGGTTAGAACAGGTTAGGGTAAGTTAGGGCAGGTTATCTTGAGGTTATCTTGAGATGATTTCGGGGCTTTTAGTGTCCCCGCGGCCCGGTCCTCGACCAGGCCTCCACCCCCAGGAAGCAGCCCGTGACAGCTGACTAACACCCAGGTACCTATTTCACTGCTAGGTAACAGAGGCATAGGGTGAAAGAAACTCTGCCCATTGTTTCTCGCCGGCGCCTGGGATCGAACCCAGGACCACAGGATCACAAATCTAGCGTGCTGTCCGCTCGGCCGACCGGCTCCCTAGGTTAGGGGAAGTTAGGACAGGTTAGGGTAAGTTAGGACATGTTGTGGTAAGTTTGGGCAGGTTAGGGTAAGTTAGGACAGGTTGGGGTAAGTTAGGACCTGTTAGGGTAAGTTACAACAGGTTAGGGGCAAGTTACAATACAATACAATACAATACAATACAATTTTATTTAGGTAAGGTACATACATACAATAAATATTTACAAGGATTGTTTAACTTATAGGTATAGCTAGTACATACAATGCCTAAAGCCACTATTACGCAAAGCGTTTCGGGCATGATAAACTTAAATGACAAGCTTAATACTAATTGAGCATAATGAGTAGAATGAAAACAAGAAATGAAAACATAGATGAAAAAGCAGCACAAATACAATTATGTCGACAAACAGCGCTCTTTAAAGAAAAAAAACAGACATTGGTTGACAATAGAAGGGTAAGGTAGGTTACAGGGAATTTATTAGGTATAGCTTCGCTTTTAACTTAAACTGGTTGAGAGAGGTACAGTCTTTAACATGGTTGGGAAGGTCATTCCACATTCTGGGCCCCTTGATTTGTAGAGCATTTCTAGTTTAAGTCGTACTCTAGGAATATCAAAACTGTATTTATTTCTGGTGTGATGCTCATGGGTTCTGATACAACCTTCTATGAAGCTTTTGAGATCAGGATTGGCATTATAGTTTAGCGTTTTATATATGTATAATACACATGAGAGAATGTGCAGTGACTTAATGTCTAACATATTCAGAGATTTAAGTAGGGGTACCGAGTGATGTCTGGGGCCAGAATTGGATATTGTCCTAATAGCAGCTTTGTGTTGAGTAATTAGAGGACGTAAATGATTTTGGGTAGTAGAGCCCCAAGCACAAATACCATAGTTGAGATATGGATAGATAAGGGAGTAATAGAGAGTCACCAGGGCAGGGCGTGGTACATAATATCTGATCTTAGAAAGAATGCCCACAGTTTTTGAAACTTTTTGATATGTTTAGAATGTGTCCCTGGAAATTCAGCTTGTGGTCAATGAGAATGCCAAGGAATTTGCCATCTAATTTGTTACAAATTTGGGTATTGTTTGAGATTTATTTGATTAGAGGATTTATTACCAAACAGAATATAAAAGGTTTTGTCAATGTTAAGGGTGAGTTTGTTGGCAGTTAGCCACAGATGGACTTTATTTAGCTCAGTATTTACTGTGGCATTTAGAGCAAGGGGATCAGGACTTGAGTAAATGAAGGTTGTGTCGTCAGCAAATAGAATTGGTTTGAGGTGTTGGGAGGCATTTGGAAGGTCATTAATGTAGATGAGAAAGAGAAGTTAGGCCGGGCAAGTCCCCGGGCAAGTTAAGACAGGTTAGGCTAAGTTAGGACAGGTTAGGGTAAGTTAGGACAAGTTAGGGGAAGTTAGGACAGGTTAGGGGAAGTTAGGACCGGTTAAGGGAAGTTAGGACAGGTTAGGGTAAGTTAGGACAGGTTAGGGTAAGTTAGGGCAGGTTATCTTGAGGTTATCTTGAGATGATTTCGGGGCTTTTAGTGTCCCCGCGGCCCGGTCCTCGACCAGGCCTCCACCCCCAGGAAGCCGCCCAGGACAGGTTAGGATAAGTTAGGACAGGTTAGGGTAAGTTACGACAGGTTAGGATAAGTTAGAAAAGATTAGGGCAAGTTAGGACAGGTTAGGCTAAGTTAGGACAGGTTAGGGGTAAGTTAGGACAAGTTAGGGGAAGTTAGGACAGGTTAGGGTAAGTTAGGACAGGTTAGAATAGGTTAGGGTAAGTTAGGGCAGGTTATCTTGAGATGATTTCGGGGCTTTTATTGTCCCCGCGGCCCGGTCATCAACCAGGCCTCCACCCCCAGGAAGCAGCCCGTGACAGCTGGCTAACACTCAGGTACCTATTTTACTGCTAGGTAACAGGGGCATAGGGTGAAAGAAACTCTGCCCATTGTTTCTCGCCGGCGCCCGGGATCGAACCCAGGACCACAGGATCACAAATTTAGCGTGCTGTCTGCTCGGCTGACCGGCTCCCAAGGTTAGGGTAAGTTAGGACAGGTTAGGGTAAGTTAGGACCGGTTAGGGTAAGTTAGGACAGGTTAGGGTAAGTTAGGACAGGTTAGGGTAAGTTAGGACAGGTTAGGATAAGTTAGGACAGGTTAGGGTAAGTTAGGACAGGTTAGGGTAAGTTAGGACAGGTTAGGATAAGTTAGGACAGGTTAGGGTAAGTTAGGACAAGTTAGGGTAAGTTACAACAGGTTAGGATAAGTTAGAACAGATTAGGGCAAGTTAGGACAGGTTAGGCTAAGTTAGGACAGGTTAGGGTAAGTTAGGGCATATTAGGGTAAGTTAGAACAGGTTTGGATAAGTTAGGACAGGTTAGGGTAAGTTAGGACAGGTTAGGGCAAGTTAGGACAGGTTTGGATAAGTTAGGACAGGTTAGGGTACGTTAGGACAGATTAGGGTAAATTAGGATGGGTCAGGATAAGTTAGGACAGATTAGGGCAAGTTAGGACAGGTTAAAGCAAATTAGGACAGGTTAAGGCAAATTAGGACAGGTTAGGGCAAGTTAGGACAGGAAAAGGCAAGTTAGGACAGGTTAGGGCAAGTTAGGACAGGTTAGGGCAAGTTAGGACAGGTTAGGGCAAGTTTGGACAGGTTAGGGCAAGTTAGGACAGGTTAGGGCAAGTTAGGACATGTTAGGGCAAGTTAGGACATGTTAGGGCAAGTTAGGACAGGTTAGGGCAAGTTAGGACATGTTAGGGCAAGTTAGGACAGGTTAGGGCAAGTTAGGACAGGTTAGGGCAAGTTAGGACATGTTAGGGCAAGTTAGGACAGGTTAGGGCAAGTAAGGACAGGTTAGCACAAGTTAGGACATGTTAGGGCAAGTTAGCACAGGTTAGGGCAAGTTAGGACAGGTTAGGGCAAGTTAGGACAGGTTAGGGCAAGTTAGGACAGGTTAGGTGAATAGGTGAACATGACATGGAAGCATAGTGCTAAAACTTCAAGAACTCTTTCACGGAACACGT